TTCTTAAATGCATTTCTTTTAGTTTCTGCTGCCCCGCCCTGGTCAGCGTCACCACCAGCCCTGGTCTGGACTGCTGCAGTTGCCTCTTGCATGTCACAATGTCCTTTTAGGATTACAGTAGCCAAAGTGAAGTTTTTCATTGATTTGCTTATTTTATTGTCTCAGCTTACTTGCTTTGTTAATAGGTATTTGGTTACATATATCAAAATCCAGAGGACCATGGGCTTATATAATTCTCCTTTCAAGAGGTCATCAATTGACAGATTCTCAGGTGTCTTTCCAAACATATTTTTTTTCCCATTCAAGCATCAAGCATATTCTCCCATTCTGTCTCTGGCTCTCACTCTGCCTCCTGCCCCTTTTTATACAAATAGTAACATACTATATACATTGCTTTGCACCTCACTTTTTCATTTAACAATATAGAGTGATGATGCGTTTAATATATTAATCTGATCACCTCACACCATCACCCTAGCTTTACATTCTTTTTTTGGCTTGTCATTATTCTCATAATAAATCTCGAGTTTTTTTAGTATGATAGCCTTTGGGCCACACATAGTCTTCAGAAATATTTTGCATGGCTCACAATGTTTTACAAAATTAGAGTCAAGCATCATTAGACTGGCTCTGCCCTATTCAGTTTGCTGCAGACCCCACCGTCCTCCATTGTATCATTTGCCTCCCATCACTTCCTTCTGTTACCTGCCCAGCCCCCACAGGCACTGGCGATTGCACTGCCTTCCTCTCCAGCCCCAGCTGCCGCCCCCTCCCCTCTCTCTCTGGCCACATCAGCCTGCTTTTGGTGTCTTCAGTGCTCCTGCGCACCTTCTCACCTCAGCACCACACACAGGCTCTATGGCAAAGCTGCCGGTGTTTCATCTCCTCGCATTGCTTTTTCCTCTTTTCACACCTGTCTGATCTGCGTGCCCTTCACGACTCACCTGCAAGGTCAATGCCTTAGGGACGCCACCCCTCACACCCACATGGATTCATCCCTTTCTTCTCTCTCATAGATCTGATCAAACTTGTATCGGCTGTTATATTGTTAATTCTAAAATTTATATATTTGTCACATTTTACTCTTTCCGAACCTGGAAGATGTCTTACAGTGAACGGTGACTTGCAATGAATGACTTACAACTTGCCATTAGTGGAATTTTAGATTTGATGAAGCTGTGTAAATATTTGTTTGTAACAACATCTGTTTACTGTCTCTCTCTCTGGAGTTTAAGTGGCGGGAGGCCAGGGGCCGTGGCGCTCTCGTTCCCCGTATCTGCAGTGTCAGGCATGGGATAGATGCTCAGTAACTACTTGTGGATTGAATGAATGGACAAGGGAGGAAAGCAGGACTTTGTTTTATGGATCCTGAATTTGCCTCAACGTTTTAATTTTCCAGGATTTAATGAGTTTATGTTCTATATCCTTACTGTACTGTATCCTTTAGGGCTCTAAGAGCTTGCCGTCCTCCCATTCATCTTTGTTTTGTAGACTGAAGAGATGTTTCTAGCCATTTGTCTTCAAGTAGGAAGCACTTCATCCTCTTGGTCCCTTCAGCCAGTCATCTCTGGGCCTTTTGCAGTTGTCTGTACTGTCTTGTGTTGGGATGAGTGTTTTCTGAATTCATTCCCTATTTTTTTCCTGATAATTCCCTGCGTTTTGTTAATGCTCTCGATTGCTATAGCCAGTCAGGCTGGTATTTGGAAAGAATAATCTCTGTATCCTTTAGGTCCTGAAGAAAGGATACTTTGTCGATCTCTGGGGTGCAAGCATTGCTACCTATATCTCAAAAAAATATTACATTTGTTTTGGGGTGTCCCAGAAAAGAAAAAAAATAAGACAAGAATTTCATTACACCCATTCCCACTCTTACTGCCTAAATACTACTATTACTAACATTAACACAGATCTCATAAATCTGAGATTATTATAAAAACTGGTTGAAGTTTTCCTTTATTACCATTTTGACATTGATCATTAAACTTAATAAAACTTCATTGGCCCACAAATTCTTTAGTTTAATATAAAGGTTGTGTGACCGTAGCAGTTTTTGAAAATTAATTTATTAGGTTGCTTTTCAGGAGGGTAAATGAGAAGTCAGGATTTATAACCCATACTTAGAGTGTTATTTGAATTATTTCCCCCCGAAGGCATCACAGCCTTCTTCCCAACAGCGAAGCTCTGGCCGGTTTCCTGCTCGCATGCATGTTGATGACATGTTCATCCCACCGTCTTCCCACCGTGCCTTCCTTCCTGTTAGTGGGCATTTCCCAGCCCGCAGGAGCTCAGTGTTGTCTGAAAACTTGTGGGTTTCTCTGTGCTGTGTCTCTCCCAGATTAGTTATGAACGGGCTACACAAGATGAGTTCCACCCCCATCTCTGACAATGCTGCTGCTTTTATTTTTTTATTTAAAAAGTGCCAAAATAGGAGAAAACATTGCTCCTTATTTTTCAATACCTTTTTTAAAAAAACAGTCTGTGTGCAATCAAAGATTTTTTAAAAGTCTAAAATGTATGGATAAATGTTATATTGATCATACACTTTTGCCCCAGAAGTTGAAATTGTACATAAATATTTATATATAAAAACACATACACACATAAACCTGTATGTATGTATGTGTGTATAGATATATATGTATTTATATGTATATATGACATGTTCATGTGAGATGTACTGGCTATAAAATGTCCTTTTTATTTTTGAAGCACAGCTTGTGAGCAGAGACAGTGTAGGAGTGTGGTCAGCAAAAAATTATCTGGAAGTTAAAAAGCTAAAGCTTCCAGCTCTGCTGTGCCCATAACGGAATGTGTGACCCTGGGCAAGTTATTGGCCCTTCTTGGACTTGAGCTGTTTTTATTTTGTAATAAGAGAGAGTAGAATTCGATCACTGGTTCTCAGCCCAATTACACATTAGACATGCAGGTGCCCAGAATCTACCAAGTGATTCTGATCTAATTTTTAAAAAGTCTCCCCTGTGAGTCTCAGGTGCAGTCAGGGTCAAGAACTGTCACCTAGGAAAACTCTCTGCTCTCTCTAGGTCTGCGAGTCTCTTGCTTTCCTTTTCCTTCTCAGGGTAGGATGGATCATGCGAGCAGAGCTATTCCCTCTGTTGGATTTGTCTCATTACATGGGATTACACAGAATGCTCTGAGTTAAAGAGTGCTCAATGCCAGCACACCAACCCCTCTGTGTCCCCACACATGGTGTCTCCCTGTCTGTCCACTCCAGCACGGAGCCCCTTGCAGCATGCTCCTCTGTATAGTTGAGTGTGCTCGAGTCTTCATGCTCTGTAGGGACCTCAGCAGTGCTCTGTGGCTGGAAAGGATAAGAGCCTCCAGTTCATGTGTCTCCTTCCACATGGCCTTGAACCATGGCCAACAGCCACGGTTTACTTCCCATCCCCAATCTTTTTGCCAAACAACCTTTCAAATTTTTTGATTTCTAATTTCCTTCTCTTAATCACTTTATAGTCTTTAATCTTTGTGACCCCTGAGATAACTAATAAGTGCATTTATTGACACAGTAGGTACTTAGAAAAAGAATAATAGTTTTTAAGCATATTAGGTTCTAATCACTTCTGAATCTGTGGGTTGACCAGTGAATACATGATATATATTTTTAACACAATAACAACTTATAAGAAGAAAAACAAATTTCAAGTATATTACGTTTCCCCCCTCAAAAATGTTTCTTCTAGTTCTTTCCTCACTCCCACTGCCACCATCCCAGTTTAGGGTCAGGTTCCTTCATTCTGTTCTCTTTTCCTTCTATAAATAATGAGAATTGGCTATTATTGATGGTAGGCCCTGTGATGAGTATTTTAATTATCTCATTTAAAACTCACAAAGGGGAGTAAAGAGGAGGAAATAGGGCTCATGGAGCTCAACATCTCTTGAGTATTAACCCTGGCATTTACTAGATGCTATCTGTGCATTATCTCACTCAGCCTTTTGGGTGATCATTTTACATTTGACCAAGGACTATATGTGGACTTCAGTGTTTCATAGTTGCCCACAGTCACAAGGCTAGTAAATAGTGGAGTTAAAATCTAGGCCACCTCAACCAGTAAACCGTGCTGCTGTTACTTTTATTACTACCACTATCTTCATTTTGCAGATGGGGAAATTAAGGCACAGAGAGATTTATTAACTGTGCCTAAAATCACCAAGCTATAAAAGGTAGAGACAGGATTTGAACCTAGGTCTTTGTAGTTCCAAAGCCCAAGTTGCAAGCACTCATACTCTTGCCTCCATTCTGACTTTATCCTTGGCACCCTGTCTGTAAATCATGCCTCACTCAAGCCCTCCCTGAACACTGGGTTTTTTCTTGCTATTTCTGCTCAGAAACAGTTTGCATCTATTTTCTAGGCCTGAAGTCATTTGTTTATTTTTTTTTTGACTTTAAAGGTTGTTTGAGGTCTAGCCTCCCCGTCCCCTGCCTTATTCCCACAGTGTCGAGAGCCCATGGCCCTGCCTGGTCAGTGTGTCTCTCACCATCTCACCAGCATGCTAGACCTCTGTCTCCAGGTGTCTTTCATTTCGTATTATTCCCTTCATCTCTTCAGCCAGTTTTTCTTGAAGACCTGTCCTTTGCTGGCAGGGTCTGCTGGAAGGCCTGAACCTACCTTCCCTGCACGGCTTAAGGCCACCTTCTCTGCCAGTCCCTGCTGTTCTCTCCCCCTCTCTTGCTGTACCTCCCATCTGAGCTCCCTCTAAACCCAGGGTGCAGTGTGGAGCCTCAGGAGGGAGTCCTTCTGTGTAAAGTCATAAGTGAACTCCGTGAGGACAAAGACCACATACGAACAACCCTGAGCATGTAATAGTTGCATGATAAACAAGCACTGAATGAGTTATTAATTTTGCTATTATGTTCATTCTGAATCCAGAAAAGTGAAGTTTTAAAATGTTGATTTATAAGAATTTTTTAAAGTGCACGTGATTGTGCTTATTTTAAGGGCTGATAAAACTGATCCTGTAAAACTCTGTCGTTCTCCCAGTAAATGTCCCCTCCACGGTCATGGAAGCCATGTGCCGACAAGATGCCCTGCAGCCCTTTGGCAAGAGCAGCAAACTCTCCCCCGCCGCCCAGCAGCGCTCTGTGGTGTTCCCGCAGACGCCCTGCAGCAGGAACTTCTCTCTCCTGGATAAATCGGGGTCCATTGAATCCGGATTTAACCAAATCAACGCGAAAAACCAGCGCGTCCTGGCGAGCCCGACGTCCACAAGCCAGCTGCACTCGGAGTTCAGTGACTGGCATCTTTGGAAGTGCGGGCAGTGCTTTAAGACGTTCACACAGAGGATCCTGTTACAGATGCACGTGTGCACGCAGAACCCCGACAGGTAACCCTGACTCTTCTGCTCTCGGTATGTTTGCTTAGTAAAACCCCTCTTGCTTTCCTGACAGGTGCCAATCTCCTCCTCCAGCCACCCCTTGGGGGAAACCCTGTGATCAGAGGCGTCTGTGTTCTGGCAGGTCAGAGGCCTGTGAGGCCACCCTTGCCCTGGCTGTGTAGAAGGGCCACACAAACAGTGGTATCGAGAGGAGTCTGTGCTTGCTTCCCAAGCAGTCCGAGTCTAAAGGGGAGCAAGATAGGAGGAACAGTTATGAATATCATGGGTGGAAAAATGAGGTCAGGATAATTAGAATCCTCTCTGTCTTCCAAAGATAATACAGCCGGCCGCCCTGCTGCTGCCACGGTCGTTTCAGGGTTCACCTCCAATGTGCTGGGGGTAGGAACTTAATTAAGTACTAAGAGGTAATGAATTGGAATTTTTTGCTTAGTACTATTTTTCTTCAGAGCATGCAAACCCATAAATCCTGCAAAGCTGTCAAAAGGAAATACCTCCTCTGCTAGTGATGTGGAGGAAAACAGATGCCACTTATTCAATAAACTAATATCCACACCGAAGAAAAATGTGGACTAGATACCTCAGAGTCAAAGTTGGTTTGAAAGTTTGTCAATAAAGAATTTTATGACCATGAACTGAGGATGAAATTTAGCTGAACAAGTGAATTAAAATTTCAGGTAGTCTGACGAGTGGCATAGTAGATATAATGGAACTATTATTTATGAATCAAAACTGGTTTATTCGACAGCCTTGATCGCTGGGAGCGCAAAAGACAAAAATCAAATTAATTCAAAAAGAAGAAAGTGTGTTTTATCTCTTCTTCACAGCCTGTGGAAATTTGATTAACCCTCACATATCTAAGGATAGCATCAAAAATCACTTTCAATATAAAAGCAGGAAATAATTTTTGGAAGTAGAAAAAGAGACCAGGGAGCAGGACTCCTGAGTTATTTTCTTCGTTGGGCCACTGGATTAACCTTAAGTCACATGGCCCTCCTTGCCGTACGATGTACATCAAGCTCTTCCCTCCCAGCTCCCCGGCTCGGCAGGATAGACACGTGCTAGGAAACCCAGCAGGGAGGGTGTGGGCATGGTGCACAGGGGGTGGGTCTTTTCTAAAATATCATTTTAGGGTCCATAGACACACATGTGTACGTGTTTTTATTTGCGCCATTCTGGAAACCACTTACTTAACATCGATCATTGCTGTAGCTAATTTATGCCGAAACATTTGCTTTAGGGCCTGGTAAGGCAGCTGTGTCTTTACAACCTTTTACCTTCAGTAGGAGAGCCTCAACCCTCACCTGGTGAAAATTAGTACTGTTGGCTTCAGAGGGGGCACACAAGTTTTGAAAATGTTCTGTTCCCTCAGGAAGGATTCTTTTTAAAAAGTTTGCCTTTCTTGCGAGTATCCATATAGCCTCAAGATAGATGCATTCAAAGTTTGCAAAGCATTTCAGTAGTTTAGGGGTATCTTGTTATTATAAACTTACTTTTAAATTGAGTGAGTTCAAGTGGATAGATTTGTTATTTGCACAGATTCATTGTTATAATAACTGAACGTGCAAGGTGAAAATGAAATGATAGTTGAAAGTTTCTGGATGGCAAGCTTACCTTTGAGTATAATATAATCCCACGCTGAATGTCACGTAAAGCAATGAAAATATGTCACGGTGAATCGGAAGATACCAAAACAGACTGTTTGGACTGGCCTCAGGCACACTTAGAAAACCGTGTGTGTATTAAGCTTTAAGTCGTTATGGTGTCATAACTTGTAACACATTTATATGAACTGTCAGAGGAGTACCTGACAAATCAGGCAACATATGTGGACAAAACACACTTCCTTGAAAGACTGTTGGGTCAGTGCTCATTCCAAGCTAATTTAGAGTTCTTGGCAAAAATCCAAGTGGCATGAGCCTCCTGTCCTGTGCTAGACGCTGACGGGCATCTCTGGCTCAGATGCCCAAGCGTGGTGTGGCCACGCCTTCCCTCCCCAGATGAGGTGAGGTAATAGGTGCTCGGTATCCATGTAGTTAGCCAGAGAGGGACCTGATTACTCACGCAGTGGGTTCTGCTTCTCACTTTCCTGTGCTTTATTGGTGACATGAGAGGTGGTCACCGTCACTCATAAATAAGTTAAAATTAAGAATTCAAAAAATTAGTCCCTTTATAGGCAAAATGATGATGATGATATACTTGAATTCCTCCATTACATCCGAGTTGGTTATTGAGGATAAAGGGAACATAGGAGATGCCCAGTCACTCTGGCCCACTGGTCTCATTCTGGAGACATGGTTTGCCTTTAGCAATGGGACTGGAATGGTTTCTTTCAGTCCCAGAACCTAGGATGTTGTCTTTGTACCAGCAAATTTGGAAGTAAAAGATAACTCTCCATAATTCTTAACCCCATGGGTGCTAAATAAGAGAAATATACAAAACTAAAATGGAACATCAAATTTGTGTATGATGGTTGCAAAATTTGGAGCCTTTTCTGTTATCCACGTGGAGAATGACAAGTGCTGAATGTCCGTGTTTTCTTTAGGGAGAGACCATAAATTGAGTGGCTTTCCATCTTTGGCAGTTGATGCCAGTTCAGACACAGACAGTGAAAAAGCTTGGAACTTACCAGTCAGAATTCATTTCCCATTGATTTGAGAAAGACACACACTTTTATTTTGATAGGAAAATCTCGCTAGAACCACAGGCAAGAAAGGGAGATGCAGAAGACAAAGCCAGCAGGTAAACAGGTTAGAGTTTCAAATGGATCCAAATTTGAAACAGGCCCCTGAATCTTAGGTCCAAAAGATTTTTCACTCAACAGACTAAGTATTTAGCCATGAAACCTAAGACATTTCAACCTTCATCAAAGAGACTTTGTGTGTCTATATTTGTGAGCTTTTTCATGTGAGGGGCCATAAAAAAATCTATGCCTTGATATAAAGAAAAGAGATCCAAGGAAACCCAGGGTTGCCAGCATCACCGGTTTTTATTTTTACTACCGTGTTATTTACATTGAACACAGAAAAACGATTCACATTCATGAGGGTCCGAAGAGCCACAGAATTGTTATTTCTTGACTTTGTTCTGTTAATATTAAACAAACAAGCCCCCAAATACCTTCTTCCTTTCTCCCAGTCAACTGGCTTTTTTTCTCTCCTCCTAAGCAAATTCAAAGGGAAGAAACTGCTGGAATCTAGACCAACCAGGATTTCATCCAGGAACTTCATAAACATTTGGGGTTTTACATAAGCTTCTGACCTAGGCCAGGGCAGCTTGACTCACTTTTGCTCGAACCAGGAGTTAGCAATCCCTTTTCTCTTCTGTTTTTCTGCTGCAGAAACCCTCAACAGTCCCATTGGGGGGGCTCCAGAAAGGGGTAAGCAAAGCCTTCAATCACCGCGGGTTATTTGCTGATAAATATGTTCTTTTTTTTTCAGCAGAAAGTGTCTTTTTAATGCTTATCTTCATTTTGCATCCTTTTCCTTTTCTCTTTTTTTGGTTGTTTGTGTCACGTGGGGAGGGTTTGCCTTTAACCTCCTGGATGCATCATCGGCTGCCCACACTTGTGTTTTGAGTATCATTGTTTGTATATGGCTGTGTTGGTACCAGAGGGGAAGATGACTCTCGAGGTTGCTGTTGGTGGGAGGAGCCTGGAGCTAATCCATCACCATAATGGTTTCTTTGGAATGTGTCAGTGTTCTTGTGTCCCACTGCCCGCCTCCCCCCAAGTGTGAAGGTTATCTTCTTTCTGGCATTCCCTGTTTTCCAGGTCCCTTGGCTCTGCTTTTGCTGCTTCCCTGCAACCTTTTCCTCCTCACGTAGAGCTCAGGTCATTTCTCACTCCACACAGCCAACAGCAGGCTCCCTTTGAAGTCTTTGGGGATTTGCACTTGGTCTGACTAACAGGGCAAGGAGAGGAAGTGGCCCCAACTGAACAACTTTTGTCCTGGAGGCTTTCAGGCCATGAAAGAAAAATCAAAGAATTAATAATATTTTAAACCAAACCACACTTAATGTTGTTAAATGTTTCATTCTTTTCCTGTGTGTACACCAAACCAATCACAGACTCACAGTAAATGAATTGCACATTTTAGTGGAGGAGTCTTTGGCAGAGGAGCTGCCAGTTACGGAGAATGCCAGGGGAATGTACAGAATTGTCCCCCTGCTTCCTTCTGCTTAAGATCTGACCAGCCATCACAGACACTAACGAAATGGACCTAGGCTTTGTCTGTCTCCTAGTTATTTCATTCTTGAGTATGGAACACCTTCTAGTTTTTCATGAAGCTTGATATCTCTGTGGAAACTAGCCAGTGGAGGCTGTTTGAACTAAAATTAATCAAAGTAAGTAAAATAACACTTTAGTTTCTCAGTCGCCCTAACACATTTCAAGTGGCAAGTGGCCCCATATTGGACAGTGTAGATACGGAACATGTCCATCACTGGACAGCACTGCTGGTAACATTGCACCCCTCAGGTCTCCAGTAGCCAGAGAGCCATAAGCTCATTGTGGTTGTGAGATGTCCCTTTGCAAGGAACGCTCTTTGCGCTTGTTTTGAGAATAGTAAAGTGCTGTCTGTGTATGATGGCTTGGGAAGAATCAAAGGGCATTAGAAAGGAGAGTCCCATTTAGTTGTTCAATGACACGAGGTTCTGAAAGGAGTGAAGCTGAATGCAGCATTTGACGATGTCGGTCCTGCCCTGCTTCTTCTGGTACAACTCACCAAAGGGAGACAGAACTTCGGAGGTGAACCTGATTGTGTCCAAAAGTTTAATATATTCAGTCTTACCTTTCGGCTAGATCTTTGAAAAGTTGATGGACTGTTAATCATCAGAATAAGAAGCTGAGTAATGGCAGTTATTCCTGTGTCCCCAACAACCCCCAGCAGTAAATTGAGAGGTGAGGCATTCAGGATATGCTCATGGGAACTTGCCTACAGGGTCTCAACTCCTGTGTACAGTTGTCCCCAAAGAAGTTGTGAGGTTTGAGATTCCACAGCAGTGACGATGTTTTCTAGGCCCTGCGTTTGGGCTTGAGGATTTCATTCTGTCTTGAATGTTTTCCTGCATCCTTAGATGAAAGCCTAGGAGGAAGTCAGTGTTAAAATTACTTTCTGGGTCGTTTTCTTTATTCTTTTTTTTAAGGAAATATTGACAATCCAGGCAAAGAAGGGATCTTGTTGACTCACTGTGTAACTTCTGTGCTTTCTTAGGGCTAATTTCTGTAGATTTCTAGGCTGAGAGAGGCAATCTGTTTTTATACTGGCAAGTAGAGCAGACATTTTAGTTCTAAATTTACATAAAGTCAGCTTCCATACAGGGACACATGACCTTACGGTCTAAAATTTTATTCCTTACGGTACCTAAGAAGAAAGGCTGCCATTTGATTTTTTGAGATCAACTACAATAAGGTTTGGTCCTACATTTTGGTACTCGGTTTTCTTGTTGCTCTGATTTGCAGCTGTTTACCAAGTAAGTTTAAATGGCGCGCGCACACACACACACACGCACACATACACACACACATGGGAAGCTCTTTGTACAGGGAACTGGCTAGTGCACATGACGGCAGGTGGAGATCATGTTGTTGATGCCGTCTCCTGTGAGCTGTGTTGTGGACAGATCGCAGGCGGCACACCTCTGAGAGCAGGAGCAGAGCATGACAGGATGCAGGAGAGCGTCTAGGTCAGTCCACCCCCCTTACCAGAGGTGAGAGGTGAAAAAATACAGTCAGGGAAGTTGAGTGACTTGTCCAAGTCCCACAGCTGATTGGGGCCAGAGGCTGAAGTAGCACTTACCTCTCCTATTTTTCCTGTTCTAGACCTTTTCATTCAGCTAAGCTAAATTCTGCAACGTTTTAAAAGCTGTGCCACACTTAGGTCACTAGATGCCTAGCAAACACCTCTCAGGCTGGTGCTGGGTAGAGGTGATGTGTTGGGATCCCATTTGCCTTTCATTGGTATTACCTTGATATAAGAATGCAACCCAAGCCTCTCTGTGGTCATTTTTGTAAATCTTTGTGACCGTTGACATAAAAAGAATGGATTGACTTCTGACGATAGAAAATAAATCACCCCAACTTTTGACAGCAGAGTTAGAAAAAGCAAAGAAAAGATTAATTGGTTTTGTTTAGTGGCTTATTGTTTATTGTGATAGCTATTAAAAATAGATAACCAGAGGCTAATAAATGTTAATGGTCCCTTTACTATTAGAAAAATCAATTGTCAGTGGATATAGCATATAATAATGTATTATTTTATTTATAATCTTCAATAACATTTAAAACATTCATCCCTGAGAGAGTGATTTCTTGAAAAACTCTAAAGTTAATGGTTATAACAAAGAACAGATTTGGCAGGAGGACATTTTCGTCTACATATAACTTCAATGGCTTTCAAAGCGTTATTTTATAATTATAATAAAATGTGTATGCAATTTGTCAAGATTGATAAACTCCTTATCAAGGACTCTTACATATTTCTTTGAAACCTGTTTGAGAGCAGTTAAATAGATTTCTAAGTGTAAGTAATTAAAATTGTATAGTATTGAGTTATTGATCAATCCTGGACTATTAATCAAGCTAAAAAATTCTACAATCAGTGCTCAGCGTGCTGAAGTCTGGTAAAATAATGGTATTTGTGTTCAGTGAGGCAAGTAGCCACAATTAAGCACTTCGCTTGACAAATGAGAGGGTCCACTTTATTTTGCACTTAATTGAATTGTTGTACATGCTCGGTCACCATTGTCTCCTAGCCCTGCATTTTGGTTTCTGGTCGTCGGAGCTTAAGTGTTTGTTGAAGGTAGAGCAATTAAGTCCGCTTGCACCGTTGGCTTTCTGAATGCAGCCAGAAAAGTCCAGGCCATACACTAGGGCTCGTGAGTGCTGTTAATATCCCTCATGACAGATTCTTAATCTTCCTAACAAAAATTTTGATAAACAAATTGGAGTCCTGTCGAAGAATGACATGAAATAGCTTCAGATAGTGACAACTGCCCAGGTTTTCTATCACTTGGCAGCTTTTGCTGAAGTAAGCAGAACTTCTGTAGAGAAGATAGAATTTTAATCTATTTTATGAAAACCCAAAATTGATCTGATTCTTAGGAGCTGGAAAGAATGTTCTCCGGCAATCTTGCTAATTATCACGTATTTGCCACAACTTCCTTCCATTTGCTTTTGCATTGTAGTCGCCCTTCTGCAGGCACAGTGGCATTCTGTCATTTCTGAACTGTGATAACTTACTGCTTCTACCACATGAACCAGGGAGCTGGAGTTCAGGAGAAAGGCCCAACGGAGAAATATTATGGGGGTGGAGGGGCGGAGGAGAGTAGGTAGAAGTCAGGACTTACTTTACAAAGGAACCAATCTGGGCGCATGCCTGCGTTCATCTTGTGTATCAGACGCCTCCATGTTGAGGCAGTGCCATCAACAGATCCCAAGATAGATGAGTATTTATTAAAACACACATGCAGCCCTAACCGGTTTGGCTCAGTGGATAGAGCGTCGGCCTGCGGACTGAAGGGTCCCAGGTTCGATTCCGGTCAAGGGCATGTACCTTGGTTGCGGGCACATCCCCAGTAGGGGGTGTGCAGGAGGCAGCTGATTGATGTTTCTCTCTCATCAATGTTTCTAACTCTCTATCCCTCTCCCATCCTCTCTATAAAAAAAATCAATAAAATATATTTTAAAAAATAAAACAAAACAAAAAAACCCCAAACAAACAAACAAAAAAACCCACACATGCATTTGCTGATGCACCTGCATGTTTACCTGGCGCTTAGAATAAGGTCCCACTGCCCTAGAGGGACTTTGGCATCAAGAGCTTATTTCCTTTGAGGACAGTTTATCCTCGGTTTTCTGAACCGACAGAAATAAGGACGCTTTCCCTGTCCCAGAGGATTATTGTAAAGATTAAAGTAGATAAGTGGTTTTAAACCCCCTTGAAAAATTAAAAGTGCCATGGAATTATCAGAGACAATTACGTATTTTCTCTTGTAAGATGCTGGCTAATCAAGCCTGTACTCTCTGTGCTCCCCCCAAACACATTAGCATTGGCCTGGGGGAAGGGATAGAAATAAGAAAGTTGGGGTTCTTGAAATGGTAAAGTTAATACCAGAAAAAAAATAACCATTTGGGAATTAATGTCTCAGTAGTTATGTCAATTTTGTTCCTGTGGCAACAAGCCATGGGAAACTAATGGCCAAAGTTCTATGCAAAACAGAAAATGTCACCAAGAAGTTGTGGCCTTTGTTTCACGTTACTGCCGTCCACTGACCAACATGGAAAAGAATGACCAGGCAGTCTGTTTGTTTGTTTCAGACCTTACCAGTGCGGCCACTGCTCCCAGTCCTTTTCCCAGCCTTCAGAACTGAGGAACCACGTGGTCACTCACTCCAGTGACCGGCCTTTCAAGTGCGGCTACTGTGGCCGTGCCTTTGCCGGGGCCACCACCCTCAACAACCACATCCGGACCCACACTGGAGAAAAGCCCTTCAAGTAAGTGGTGTCTAACCTTTCACCCCATCTTTCTCCTAGCCTTTCCGACAGCCGCAGACAAGGCGGATCGGTGCTGCCCGGCTCAGCCAGTGGCTGGAGAAGGCTATTTGGAAGGTCAATGTCCAGGCTGTAAAAGGACCTACTTGTTTAGTGGCTGTTGTTTGCAAAATGAGGTCAGGAAACCTATACATTGATCCTCACTCAAGCTGTTCAATCTTGGACATGAGACCAACTTTCTGGGACTGTTTTCTCATCAGTAAAATAAGGCAGAAAGAATCATGTTAAGATTCTTTCTAGTTCCCGTGGATCTGTTCTTCTAGAAGTGGAGCTGGGAGCTCAGTTTCAGAGTGCCACCTTACGGCCATCAGCAAGCCCCATGACCATCAGTAAGGTGGCCACAATTTAGGACATCTCTTGAGGACCTTGAACCCTGTAGGATTCTGGTGAATTTTTTCCCTCCTCTTGGTTTGACTCTATTATGGCAGCCAACTTGCAGTTTTCATTGTGCCTTTTGAATCAGCATTACCATGTTGGTGAGAAAAAAAAATCCAAACACAGGGCGCGTTTGAGTTCTTGAAGATTCAGGGAATGTAGAAAGAAGTGAAACTGAATTCCAAGGGCTTTGGCTGAGCGAGAGAGTTTGTTTCTTGATATAGCACAATCATGAAAGCAATGGACATCTGAATCATGCAATATGGCCCATTCACTTATTCATTCATTCATTTGTTCGTTCATGTCCGTGTTCATTCATTTGGCAAATACTCACTGAGCACTTTCTTTTGTACTGGGCACCCTTCGAGGCACAAAAGATACAAAGGTAAATTAGACTCAGCCCTCCAGCCTTTGAAGACCTCATGGTTTATGGGGAAGCCCAATTGATGAACAAGTCTTACCACATAGAGCAGCGGTTCTCAACCTGTGGGTCGTGACCCCTTTGGCAGTCGAACGACCCTTTCACAGGGGTCACCTAAGACCATCCTGCATATCAGATATTTACATTACGATTCATAACAGTAGCAACATTACCGTTATGAAGTAGCAACGAAAATAATTTTATGGTTGGGGTCACAACATGAGGAACTGTATTTAAAGGGCCAGAAGGTTGAGAACCACTGACATAGAGTGAAAGATGCAAACGTGAAATGCAATTAGACGTGTGTGTACAATGTCTCAGAGTAGTGTAGAGGTGGAGTAATCAATTTTGTCTCTGGGAGATGATGTCAGTGTTTTTTCCTAAATTTCATTTTTCAATTACAGTTTCCACTCAACATTATTTTGCTTTAGTTTCAGATGTACAGCGTAGTGGTCAGGCAGTCATACACTTACAAAGTTCTTTCCATACCCTCATATTTCAAGTGCTCACCTGGCACCATACATAGTTATGACAATATTACTACTCTATTCCCTATGCTATACTTACATCCCAGTGACTGTTACAAAATTACCAATTTGTACTTCTTAATCCCTTCACCTTTTTCACGCAGCCCCCTAAACCTCCTCCTCCTGGCAATCATGTTTGTTCTGCGCATCAATGAGTCTGTTTCTGCTTTGTTTTATTTCTAAGATGTGTTTTGAAGGCATTCGAAGGAAAGAGACGTTTCTGGTAGCCCAGCCAGCATATGGACGGCTTGGGAATGTGGAGTAGTATGGATGACTGGTCGGTGGTCTCAAAGCCTTTTCTACTCTCTGTGTAATGGACTCCTTTCTGTTCAACCCCCTGACATCTCTCTTTACTTTTTACCATAGTGGCTTCCCCTAGTTAAGAAGGCAAATAAAAAGGGCATAGATGTATCGCCTATTTACCTTCTGTATGACAAGACCAAGCACGAAAGGAAAAGATTCAGGTAGTAGAACTAATCCCCTGGCTCAGGATCAGCCCAGGAGCCTTTCAGGGCTCTCATTATCCATGAGTTCCCCCCTGGACCTCCAGGTGTGGTGGTTGCCCTGGTGCTCAGTCTATGTCAGGCTCAGCTCAGGATGGCAGAGTCCTGCTCATTGGGATCCTGCCACCTCTGTTCTGCCAGCGAGGAGAGCTCCTAAAAGGCTGGCATCTTCACTCACCTCCCCATGAATCAGTCACCTTCACTCATTATCCTTCACTGTTTTCCACTGTGGTTTAATTTATGACATGGATAAGAAAAATAGTTTTAACTTTCGTCTTTGTATGTGGGTGCGTCTTGATCACGGCATGAAGACATCTGGCTAAGGGGACTGAATGGGTTTCCAAAGGGAGCCTGCACTAATGCCAGCCACGCTGTGACCTCTGGGTCTGAGCTCTCCCAAAGGTCTTTTAAGTTTCCTTAAGGACCAGATGGGTTAGCACAGCCCTAGAGTTCCCTGTTGCGGGTGTTTGTGTCCTGCAAGGTGGGCTCTGCATTGCCCTCAGGCCTGACCCTCAGGGGGTCACAGACTCTGGCTTCCCCGCTGCTCTGGAGGTGGAAGGTGACCGTGGCTCCTCTCCCCCAGAGCCTTTGAGCAAGAGAGCTTTTCAAAAGAGGCGCAGGACTGACAGTCTTTCTGGCCCCTCATAGTACAGAGGGCAGCCAGACGGACACAGTGCCAGGATCAGATTGATTTTTATCTTGTTGCTGTGTAAATAGATTTTAGTAATTAATTGAAGAGGTTTCAGGGTCAAAATGGGAAATAGATTTCTATTAATGTTAAGGTGTTACTTATGTGTAACCTCGTTGACTCCACTCAATTTTTTTTCTTTAACATCCTGTTTTTGTCATGTTTCCAATAGAGTTGCCATTTTAACTTACTTTTAATTCATCAGGGTACTCTTTTGAAGGGCTTTAGCAATTTTATCTTCTTCCTTTCTAAACGGATGCTTTTGTGACCATAACCTACTTTCATCTGGGGGGAGGGGAGAGCAAAGAGCCAGAGTTCGGTGGATTAGATTCTATGTGTATGTTTAGTTCCTTCTGCTCCTACTCTTATTAAGATTAGCCACATGCTGCAGGCATTTTTTAACTTACATATATTCCTGGGGGAAGAACTGAGTGTACGCTTATTTTATAAGGGCAAGATTTTAACATCTTCTAGAAAGTGGAGAGCCAAGCCCTTCAGCACACACAAATGGATCAGTCAGGATTGAACTATCCCAAGGGAGTTTGGGAATCTTCCAACATAGCTCATGGATATCCGTCCCATGGACATTTGTAAATATTATGAAAATGTCCTTTTACAAGCTTATAAAACAAACAGTCAAAAAAACTTTTCTTGCAGATTAGTCAATAAAATGGGTTTCACCACAACAGTTAATTTTACTACTTCAACTAATGGGTATTGGCTTAAACAATGTTGCAAAGAAGGAAAAGAATCTTGTAAAAGATACACAACCCTAAACTCTCCACGTTGGGCAGCTTCCAAATAGATGCCCCAAATGGCTCAGTCTCCCAATTGTCCCACCCACCCAGGGCCCAGGAGGCCTTCACAGAATTCCCAGGGTCCCGGCCAGATGGAACCTGCCACATCTTCCCAACCTCTAAAATCTTCTGCTGCGACTTGGTTTTTGAAGGCAGATCAAGATGATTGCCACCCAGGGAAGGCTGGAGAAGATTTGGCACTAAGGGATCAGTCACATTCCAGGCTTTGCCTCACAGTCTGATTGGCTGAATTCCCACTGAAAGCCTCCATCCCTCAAGGTCTGTCGGGTAGCTAACCTGCTGTAGACTTAGACTTTTAAAGATAAAGGAGCACATAGGAAAAAATGCATACCAAGGATGATATTACAGGTCTTGGCTTTCAGTTTGTATTGTGAGACTGGAAGTCATGGCGAACGAGGAACCAAAGCAAGACATCGTTTCATTTAACAGCAATTGCCAAGCACTTGATTGAAAAAAAGGAAGGAAATAAAGAAGGAAGTTGGCAGTCTAAAACGTATTCTTTGCAATGACAAATCCTTTCTCCTTCTCTGTTACTAAACGCAATCTTTCAGGATTTCAGGGAGGTTGCTCTGCCTGGAAGGATCCCCGTGAGCTGCTTCCCGCCTGGCTCTGTGCCTGGGAAGCCCAGGACGTATCCTAGGAGAGGCTCTTGCCTGCATCTGTTAGAAGCAGGGGCAATACTCATCACTACATTTTGCCTTAAGTAAAGACAGTTTGGCTCAGTATGTTAAAAAAAAAGGATATTCCAGAGAGCAGCTAATACTTTAATAAGAACTAGGCAAAATCAAAGCCAATTGAAAAAGCACATCAGTAAAAATGCACTGAGCACATCATAGGTATGAAGCCCCCTGTGCAGTGTGGTTTGGTTCGTGAAGTATTTTTTGACAGGTTGGAGGGGCACAGAAAGGAACAGAACTTGACATTATTTTGCATCTCTGTCAATTTCAGATGGTAATTGTTAAACTCCCTGTACCTATAATCCAGTCAACCATCACAGTAAGTAAAGAATGATCTCAAATCTAAAAGGAAATCGAGTCCAGTTAAGAGACCCCTACTGGTAGAGAGTTGGGGACTTCCCCTTTGCTGAACTATTTGGACGCCTTTCCACTTCACTGTTCCGGCGAGGTTCCCTTCAAGGCCGTGACGTCATCACAAGGAAGAGGACCCTGTGTGCAAGAACATTTCTTTGCTCCCAGCTCATTACCTGCATCTCTCTCTCCTCCTTATTCTGCTCCCCTGCATGAAGTCCAGGCTTAGAGGTACCCATGCACAGTCATGCGTCTGGGATTGTAGTTCAGGGTTAAATGCCAACCCAGCTGACGTCCAGATCTGACCTGCTAGAACCTAGGTATCTGCATTGAATCTGTCCTTCTGATGAGTGTTATGAAGCTATGAAAATAACTTGTGAAGGAAATTTTTCTAAAATTAAAGATGATATACATAAAACTGAAGTCCTTCCATTATTTAAAAATATTTTTATATCTAAGCTCTCTTCCTCAATAATACAAACTGTATTCTTCTAATTCCCAAATCACATAGATATTTCTAGTAGCCTGGTTCTAAGTATAATTTTACTCACACTTGTGGGCAGATGGCACTAACAATGAAGTTTCAGTAAGGATCTCATGGGATGGTTAGATCTGACTTTGTAAAATCCCTGACTATTACAGCAAACTGTTCCGTAAGTAAAGATCTGTGAGGCATTTAGGCAAACACTTGAGAAATGCCTAATTCTCCTCTTAATGTCTTTGTCCAATCTGGATGTTTATATATTACATATCCACATACACTTTTGCCTTCTATGAATATGAGACTTCCTCCTTTTGAGTACTTTATATTCTAATACACAAGGTTAGAAGTGCAAAAGTATGAGCCAGGTAAATTGTCAAGCCTCATAATTGTTCCAACGGTTCTGCTCTCATCGAAATTGATTCTAGAGTTTGAAATAATAAAAAAAAGGACTATAATAATTTGAAAGTTTGTCAAGCAGTGAAAGGTAGTATATTTTGACACACTAATCCAGGAACTAATCAGTTTTCTAATAAACAATCAGCAATTCACTAACATGTCATCAGCACTTCAGGAGCTCTGGAGAGGGGATGCGCTGCCCGTGGACGTTAATGAATACACCAAAAATCATTAGCTGGTCAATACTTCTGAGTTATTTTCATTGGGTTGATAGGTCTGATACATTAAAGCTGACATTATACATTTGTCAAGATCACAGTGCAGTTTTTAACAGTGGAACAGGCTGCTAAAATTATTCCCTGAGAGAAACACAACTTCACCCTGCCACACACAGCTGGCATAGGGACCTTGAAAAAGCCATGCCTGATAGTCAAGCGCCAGCCTCCCCCCACTCACAAACGTGCAAGAATCTCCGGGGTGAATGGGCGTGCTCTGTTTTTATAGGTGATTATTCCTGTGGCAGGGGGTTTTGTATACTTTACTAAACAGGAAGGAGAAAGAGGGGACTGCTCACCAGATAACAAGACTCAGGCACAGGATAGGGCAATGCAGATTTTTCTCATGATGATTTCTGCCATATTCCCAATTATGCAGGGACCCCAGGACCCAAGGTAGTGTTATTGAAAAGAGAGACTGTTGTTGTCTGCAGCTCTCCTGAATGTCTTTCCTTCAAAGGTTTGAAGAGAGAATATTAAGGGGATGGCTGAGGTGGCTACTGTGCCCTAAAGAGTGCCTGACCATTGCTCCAGGCTGCCCAGGCAAGCAGGGTAGTGACAGGAAGTCACTGGGTCCAGCTTGCTGCCATAGTGTGTGTGTGTGTGTGTGTGTGTGTGTGTGTGTGTGTGTGTGTGTGTGTACAATCATAGACAACCAGCCAGTAACACCAACCATCACAGAAGAACTAGAAGCCACCATTAGGGGTGTGTGTGTGTGTGTGTGTGTGTGTGTGTGTGTGTTAGATTGAATTGCCATCAAGTTAGTAATGTGTGTTGCCTGGGAGATAGGTCAGGCCTACGGTTCCTTGATTATCATCTTTTTTGTTAAGTTCTGGAGAGGAAATAGTCTTGAGGTGTGAAACCAGGTTTCTCATCAGACACACCACCCCTTCATTATAGCCCGCAAGGATATTCTATGACTGTACTTTGGGGAGAGGTGAACTTCTTGACCCACACAGTCATAGGTTTATTTCAGGTTTTTTGAGCCCCTACCCAACCACAAACGTTGTGCTAATCCTGAGTTTGGTTGGGCTGTGAAACTAGAACAAACTTCTGCACAAAAGCAACTGCCCACACGACCCTGCCTCACCACCGCAGACTAATACATTCCTTCCTCTGGTTTCCAAACGCCAAGAGGCTCGCCCCTTGGCTGCTGTTTTGAGGGGAGTCGAATTCCCGATTTTAAATGAGCAGCAGGTGAAATTTTATTTGTCATCAATTTCTCTTTCGGGTTATGGAGCAGAAAACTGGAGACAAGCTGCTGCTTTGATGGCTCACTCCTAAAAATCTCTTTTTGTTCTTTATCTATTTGAACTGACAGCGATCAGAGCTGCAGCAGGACAGGGCTCTCTGGAGAAATCACCTTCCCCCGCCTATTGACAGATCCCTCTGTTCTGCATCAGACGGGCTTTGTCCCATCACAGGCGTCCAGGCCTTGGAAGGAGCCACCAATTAAACCTCTTGAGCCGGGGAAATCTGAAGCCACTTTGGAGTGTCTGTTCTGATTAGGCAGGATGAGAGGACGCCCAGCACCCTGCAGGCCCCGCTCCCTGGTCTCAATTTTCTCTCTTGCCTCCACCAGGTGCGAGAGGTGTGAGAGGAGCTTCACACAGGCCACCCAGCTGAGCCGGCACCAGCGGATGCCCAATGAGTGCAAGCCAATCACCGAGAGCCCAGAATCAATCGAAGTGGATTAACTGATTGACTGGTTGGAATTAAACTGCAAGGAAAGTCATGATTAAATGTCACGGACACTTAAGCAAAACCAAAGATTTCCTCGGAGCAACTTTCAATCAGTCCCAGAAAACCAAAAGCAGTAATAAAATAAGTAAGATGTTAAGAGAGATCGATCCTGGCGTGGAAGTCAGACCGGGGAAGAGATTATTTATTTATGACTAGGGATGAGACTCATTTCAGTGGACAACTAACCTGGGATGGCCCGCAGGTCCAGTCCCACCATGTATTTGCTTTGTTTCTAAAAAGCTTTTCTAAACTGTTATTTAATACCAAAGGGAGGAATCGTATGGGTTCTTCTGCCCACCGTTGTGACTAAGAATGCACAGGGACTTGTTTCTCGTTGCACCTTTTTTTAGTAGCATGATCCAAGGGGACCCATTGTACAGCCCTTCTTCCTGCTGTTTCGGTTTGGCCTGGCCCGGCGCGGCCCGTGGAAGCAGAAGCGAGAGCGTCCGCCGGGTCGGTGCCACCTTCAGCCCCACGGGCATCCCATTCTGTGTTTTCCCGCGCTCACGCCTCATGCACTTGTCACGTGGTTCCTTCCATCCAACAGCCTGGTCTTGATGCAGAAGAGCCCGGAAGTGGAAGAAAATGGGGGACTTACTTTGTCCTGTTTCAAAAACATGTAAAATGTAAGGAGCTTCATAATACAGTATATTGTTCTGAAGCAGCTAGTGGAGAAAATTTTGTTTTCAATAACATTTTAGCTTAAAAAAACCCCACAAAAATAAAAGTTCTTCGGTATGAGGCTGAATATAAGGTACTAGGCTTCAAGTAATTTTTTGTTGTTGTGTCTGTGGAAGTGTTGAATATGCGAAAAATAGTGCCAAGCCCCATTGTCAGGGCCCTTTTAGGCAATTTCATCTTCCTTCCTCGGGTGTGCAGGGAGCATTCCTGCAGGAACAGGCGCAAGGAACCGAGACAAGGAAACATTGAGAGGAGGAGCCACAGCGAGGATTATGCTTAGAACAGACTGCCCGGGAAAAAGCTAAATTTATCAATGGAAATTGCCTTTTTGTCTCCTGTGGCCCTTGGTAATATTCTTCTCTCAGCACTGACCCATTGAAAGGAAGAATGATATACACAATTTCATGATTTCTGAATTGAATCTGGATTGCTAGGAAAGTAAGTTTAACTTCAGCGAGGCTTTTGGTAATTCAACAATGATGTTCCATAAATTGGATCATCTTACATGAAATGATTCAACTTCTGGAAAAAACAGGCTTCTGTCCTCTTGTCTATTAGTTCACAGTAGCATCTCAGAGACTGAGTCTACCTTGATGGCCAGTGCAGATAAAACTGTTCCATCTAGCATGCTTCGTTAACAGTAGCAATCTCTGTGTAGATTTCTTGGTCGCCTGATAACAAACATTGCCATTTGAGGAACTCCTTGACTTTTTAGGCCTCCCATTGTCTTCTCTCAACAAGAATGTGAGATACGTCACTGAACTGACCACTGGTTCAGTTTGATGGATCATCATGTATTTGGTTCTCAGAAAATCCTCCTCTCCTTTTAATTTTGCTTCCCCATCCCTTGGCACCAATGCCAAATTCAAAATGGAGTAAAACAGGGCTCCGCTGGTTGTGTTCATAATTTACATGTATGTGATGATAGGCCCCCGAAAGGAACGTGGCAACTTCTGACTCCCTATGTCCATTCTCAAGTCGTTCACCTACAACTTCCTCCCAGTTCTCGTTGGCTTCTTATCATGCAAATAGTAAGCTGTGTGACTGTGGCTGATTGAAAGGTTTCTCTCTGCTCACTAGGGGTGTGTTCTGATTTTGCTGCTCCTTGCCTGAAGAGATGGAGGCATTTGCCAACAATGTGTGGCAACGGGAAGGGTGGAAAGAGTATGTAGCCATCTCAACCCAAACCCGAGAGACAGTGACAGATGGGCTGCACAGATGAGCAAGCTGTTCCCTTTATTAAGGTTAAAACACTTGGTTGTACCTTTTTAAAATAATAGGGGGTTCACCTGTATGTTTCTAATATTTTTTTTCCTGCGAGAAAAATGAGTTGAGTCATTTGCCCCCTTTCATAATTGAACACGATGCACCCCACTGAGCTCCTCCCCCTGCAAGCATGGGAAGCCTTCACTTGCTCTTGATATCTGGCACGGGGAGGGCTTTCATCGCAATAGTCTCTTCCACTCCAATGGCTTTCCCATCTGATCCCCAGGTGTCACTTACTATGGCAGTAACCTCTGTACCAAAAGATTCTTCTAGCCTTTGGCCCAGTTAAGTTTGTTTCTCTCCTTTATTAGTAAGAGAAAATCTTGGCATGTATTGTCTACCAAATTTGGTTAGAAAAGTATTTTAGAAAATAGGGTACATTCACAGCTTTCCCATTGCTGAGCCATTGCCAGGGGGTAGCAGACAGCCTAGGCCAGTGGTTGGCACACTGCGGCCCCTTGAGTGTGGCTCTTCCACAAAATACCACGTACAGTGCGATTGAAACTTCGTGGCCACACTCAAGGGGGCAAAGAGCCACATGTGGCTGGTGAGCCGCAGTTTGCCGACCACTGGCCCTAGGCCGTCTGTCCATGAGACAGGCCTTCACCGCACATTGACTTGGGGCCTTGAAGCAGGTACTGAGATCATGGAGTCCCAAATGCTTTTAGTTGAAGTATGTTCTGGGGAGGGGTTTTTTTCTTAAAACCGCCCAACAATTGCTTCAGCATTTTCTATGTAAAATTGGCAGATACTCCCTTGGAACACTGTAAATGGTGGTAGAGAATGCAGTTCTAAAGATTTGCCAGTCCCGCTTCTTAATGACTTTCTAATGAATCATGGCATAAAGAGAATATATGCTCCGAGTCATTGAGGAGAGGGGAGGATAGCCAAGATGAGAAAGGGAGACGGTCGGAGTTTGAAGCAATCCCTTTGCCCTTTTCGATCAATGGAGACAGATTCCCCCCTCCCCCCAGAATAAGACCTACCATCACAGCACATGCTTGTTGGTCTAGCTCTGAGTCTAAACCAGAGGTAATGCCACATACAAGTGGAGATACGGAGGAGGAGGGGTGGGGCTGCAGACATCACATTTCTAAAAGTAGCTCAATAACCTTAGCAAAGCTGAAGATTTTCCCCAGGACATGCACATGATTTCTTAAGATAAGCTTTTCATTTTGGTTGTTTTTATTGTTAAAAAATGACTCCCCCCCCCCCAGTATCTATGCTTTTGTAAAGTTACTGTGTGGGTAATGAAAGCTATAAAACGAAATCTTGTGTAATTTGTATAATTTGATTCAATTAGTAGATAGTTACTGAATGTTCAGGCAAGGGTTAGCCTTATGGGGGAAACTGTTTTTTCATGATAGAAAAAGATTATGATACCACTTCTGTCTTCACAGGGCTTACAATTTATTGGATTGCACCTTAGAAAAACTTCATTCTAGTCCAGATACGCAAAGATTTACACACATGTACCAACTCCTCCAGTTTTTTCATCAGTCAGTTGGTTCATTGTTTTATTAATTTACTCAAGGAACATGTACTGAACTCTTGATGTGTATAAGATCCCACTGTAGGTGCTTGCTAAGCAGCAGTACTCAAGTGACTATTTGTGAGGAAATAATGTTTTCCCCGGTAGTGGTAGGCTGGTAGCATGGATATCTTAGCCCTAGGATCATTGTCTCAGTGAAGTTACAGGGATTCCTGCAGGATCAGAGGGATGTACGCTCTGCTGAGGATCAGAAGGGAGCATATTTCAAAACAAATTAAGATGCACGACTTGATTGGTTTTGGTTGACTCCCTGGGCTCTTGGTTCTTAGCAACAATATCAAGATACTAGGATTAGGGCCAGGGTTGTAGGGGTTTTATGACCCTATTCCAGTGATAAGGCAACAAATGGGGCCAGGGCCGGGAAGGAACTGCAGACCTGCCTGGGTCTGAGGAGCCTCCTGTGACTGGTCTGGGCAATGCAGCCCTGTCCCCAGTGTGTGCCCGGGGTGCTTCCAGAGGTGGGGATGCCTACACTGCACTCAGGTGCTTCAGAGGGCACAGAGTGGATATTCATCTCCGATTTAAAAATGGCGGCTTTGGTTAAGTTTTGGCTTTTTAAGCTCTTTATGCACTAAAACTGGAGGATCTTCCTCTTCAGCAGCATGGCCCTCCGAGGCCCCCGGGCTCTGGTGCATCGTTGCAAAGCTCATTGCTAGTCATTGGTTATAAGGAGTTGTTCTTGTGAAAAACAAACAAACCCAAAAAACGAGTATTTAATTGCTTTTCGTACTAGAAGTCGCACTGTTACTACAGGGTGTCCCCCCAAAAGTGTATACACACTTTGAATTATTATGAAGTCAGTGTTTATATATAGTTCACCTTCAAAATTTAAAAGAATGTACAGGATTTTTTTTTTTTGTCAATGCCTGTTTTCAAACTGATGACCGTTCTGGCCCAGGCACTATTGACTGGTAACGTGAAGCAACGGAATCGCAAACATCAAGAGTCATTTCGTTCGGCATTTGTGTGCCCTCACTGTGTTGACTGCTGCCAGTTTTGAACCCTAAACTTTATCTTTTATGTATCCCCATTAAAAAGTCTTCGGCACTTTATTACAAATGTTCTTTGTTCAAAGCTTAGTCTGGCTTTACCCACCATTTCAAATCAGTTAAACCTGAAAAGGAGTGAAAATTAAGTGAGTTATCAGCTATTAAAGTGTGTATGCATTTTGGGGGCACACCTTATATATTTGTTTTGCATGAACTTAAAAAATGAAATGGAATATCTGTTGAGTTGTTTAAAATGGGGAACATGGCACAAAGGAGGGCATTTCCAGAACAGCCTGGGGTCTGTGGGTCGCTTGGAGCAAACCGGTCATTCTCATATTAAGGCTACATGTGCCTGCAGAAACCAGGCCAGGGATGACAAATAAACGAAATAAGCACACTTTCCAAAAAGTTAGCTTCTGTTTCCTTCCTTCCTGTCATTTAATTTTATTTCCCACTGCCTTTACGAATTCCTGACACCAAATCTTGAAAGATACTAAGAGATATGCTTCTCTAAGTGGTAACAGCAAGTTCCAGAAATGTCATTCGTTTGTCAGGATCCTTTCAAGGTGAAGAGGTTTGGAGACATTTGATGAAGTGACTAGATGTTTGGGTACTTATCCCCCCAAGGGCCTGCGGCTCTCCCATCACTGGCACTTCTCTGAACTACCACAAAACAGCAAGCGGAGTCCTGGGAAGAGCCACATATTTCAGCCTTCTCAAGATTAAGTTCTACAAGCCCAGAGACCAGCTGTCAGGTATAACTGAGCAGAGAGCCAAACTGAAAAGAATATTGCTCTATCCATGGAAGCCTTGCTGCAGATGTTTAGCCTGTAATCCATGGTTGTATTTAACATTTAAAATACCTATTTCGGTTCTTCTTTTAAGTAATGAATGTCAGATGTTGCATCAGATCAATATGAACAATGATAAAAATGTCAGTCAGAAAACAGAGCAAAGACAATAAAACTATCTAATCATCTTCCCTATATATTGAGAAGCTACCATTGTATTTAGAATTATGAAAGTCTCTGTTGCGTGAATTTTAATGGAAAAATAAAGTCAGCTTATTTCGTCAGATGTAGATGGGGATGATAATAACGACAGCAACGTATACAGTGCAATTACTGTCAGGCACTGTTTGAAGTGCTTTACAGGGATTATTTCATTTAACCCTCAATTA